GCAGCTGTCTAAAATCCACTCCGGGCATCCCAACACCAAATGACTGTAGAACAGATTAGAAGGTCGTGTGCTGAACCACGAAAATTAGCTTCAATATCCGGTAAATTGTCGAAATTTTCGCGTTCCGCTTAAAACAGCGACTAATTCATAGGCGCTGCGTAGACATCGGCATCCGGTTGCATGCCGTTGCCGGTCACTCTAGGATTAAAATGATAGTCAGGCGCTGATGACACTGGACAAGGAGAGCAATTCGCTGAACGCTTTTCGTTGATTAGTCAATGTCTTCTTCCCAGCAGAAGCCATCTTCATTGTCCTCTTGTAAAATGCAACAGATCTGAGGAATATGGGAAGATGAACTTCGCCATAACTACGACAGCAAATAAAACCTTCAAGCCTCTCTGAATTGGATACTTCTCAAATGCATCTCAAATTACTTACTTCAGTGACTGCACAATGGGACTGCCCCAACTCACTGCTCACTCCAGCCGCTAAACAAGCGATCGTTGCAAAGCACAACGAACTCCGTGAAACTATTGTTCATGGAAAGGCGCTGCGAAAGGGTGATGTTCCGATTCCGAAAGCAGCCAATATGTATGCAATGGTCAGTCTTTGATTAGTTTACCTTCTACTTCAATTCATTTGAAATTTGAATGTTACGGTAATCAGACTATATTGATGACGCTTCCAAGCAGTCAACCTTACATGAATTGGACTCAGTTATCAAAGTTTTCGATTTTTATGCAAAGCGATCAGCACAATTTATTGAGCGATATCTGAACACGACTCGATGATGAAGGGCAGAAAAGAGTGCTATTCGCAAGAAACCTATTATCTTTATGGCTCAGTGCAAAAATGCAAAAAACTGAATCAGTTAGAACTGAAGACCCAGCCACATGAGTGAAACAATTGTTGAACTTTGAATGTCATACTGAACTTGTTTCCTAATGTGTATGTTGCAGAAATGGGATTGCGATTTGGAGAAGCAGTCACAGGAGTGGGTTAACCGATGTGTGTTTCAGCATTCACCTGAAAGTTTCAGACATGCTGGAGAAAACATCTTCGCTTCCTCAACAACCGGCAGTTTGGGAGATCTAGGTGAGTGAATAGAACGATCAGATCCAGCTCCACATCTTAAACAATTCATGCTTTTAGTCTGGTCCCACCTCTAATTTTTTACTTATTCCCGGTCCGGCCCGGGCTCCAGCAAAAAAGTCCGGCCTCCAATTCCAGCTGATTTTTTCGTGGAGTCAAAAAAAAACTTATGTTGCCTCTGGAGTTTGAGCATCACTGGATGTGGCTGGTAGACAAATCTCATTCAACGCGTTCGTTGAGACTAATCCTGTTGCATCTTTCAAAAGTCCGTCAGCAAAACCGTCAGCTCGTCTCTTCATGGTGATGGAACCCTTTTGAACCAAACGTACACCGAAAAATTTATTAAATGAAGGCTTTGTTCAGGTAAATACGGAGTGACCGCGTCAGAGGCTTGGTGGTCCGAGTTGAAACGAGTAACTGACGATATGATCAAGATTGAGAACAACGAAGTTCCGTTTGGAGGCCCTATTTTCGGAGTTGCTGGTCATTGGACTCAGGTCATCGAATTAATGGTTTAATCCATTAAGAATGAATGCGCTGTTAACACGCATTGGATCTGGCACAAGATCGATAATGAAAATTTCAAACCTGTTAATTAGCAGAAACATGGCTGCTTCCAAAATGAACTTTTGCCGTATTCGATTCCATCCTGAACTGAATCTTTTGCATGATCAAATGACAAGAACATGAAACGATGTTAACATTTCAGATGGCATGGGGTGAAACAACAAAAGTAGGATGCGGTATACAAAACTGTACAAGAGGCACAAGTGGCTGGAAGCAAGTCAACGTTGTTTGCGAATATCGCAATCAGTAAGCAAATTACGATCATCAACGTTTAGCCCAGCGCTAGACCATCTCTTTCATTATGAGACTGTTAATTGATCATTTAAACGATACTTATCTTAAATTAGGAAAATATTTGCTATATAATCGTCATCTTTTCTATTATTTTCTCAACTTTCAGGGGCAATTTTTGGTCTGCACCCATTTACAAGATTGGTGATGGTTGCCATCAGGATTCTGACTGCACATCGTTCCAGGGTTCGAAGTGTGATACGTCTACCAATCTTTGTTTGTCGCCGTAAAGATTGCTGTGTGTAATCGTTTTATCTCATACTGAAACCCCACAATAACATCAATAAAAAATTAGACAATTCGTGAGAATCTGCATTTTTCCATATGGACATTATCAGTGCACTTGCTGTTGATTATTGCGCCTTTTTATAGTGTAAAATCCTTCGGATACACAAACACATTTAACTCATGTCTGGATGCAAACGATTTCGTATCGACATAGTGCATGATATCAACTATTTGTTAAACACCGCAAACCNATGTCTGGATGCAAACGATTTCGTATCGACATAGTGCATGATATCAACTATTTGTTAAACACCGCAAACCTAATTAAGCATAAAAACGATACGATATCGAGATTCGTCAAAAGGAAGTATCTGATAGAAGGTCATAGGATACCTTTCAACTAAGCATAAACTAAAAAATTATCACATCGAAATCTTGAAAACGATAATTCCGAGCTATTTATTATGAAAACGATAATTTATTCCAACCGTTCTGTAATTATCGCTGCTAAAATAATGAGTTTTGCATGAGAACTGCACCAAATGCAATTTGTTCCCTTTATTCCATCAAAACAGCAAATACATCACTTCTGAAATTGTTAGTCATTGGTGCTGAAATCAATGTTTTAACTGAACTAACAACAAATAATTTGACAGTAACATGGTTTAACGGTTCAGATGATTTGAGTTCTGTCAGAGCGATTGACTGATTGTTATTGAGGGTGTTGCTCATGCAGCGTCGACGCTGCAGTTTGCGGCAAGCATCGTTCGCCCTTGCACACATAAATGAACCGCAATAACCCTGGTCTTGAACGTTGATGATCGTAATTTGCTTACTGATTGCGATATTCGCAAACAACGTTGACTTGCTTCCAGCCACTTGTGCCTCTTGTACAGTTTTGTATACCGCATCCTACTTTTGTTGTTTCACCCGATGCCATCTGAAATGTTAACATCGTTTCATGTTCTTGTCATTTGATCATGCAAAAGATTCAGTTCAAGATGGGATCGAATAAGACAAAAGTCCATTTTGGAAGCAGCCATGTTTCTGCTAATTAACAGGTTTGAAATTTTCATTATCGATCTTGTGCCAGATCTATTGCGCGTTAACAGCGCATTCATTCTTAATGGATTAAACCATTAATCCATTGACCTAGGTCCAATGACCAGCAACTTCAAAAATAGGGCCTCCAAACGGAACTCTGTTGTTCTCAACCTTGATCATATCGGCAGTTACTTGTTTCAGCTCGGACCACCAGGAGTCTGAGGCAGTCACTGCGTATTTACCTGAACAAAGCCATCATTTGGTTAATTCTTCGGTATACGTTATTTTTCGTCTTCATGGTTCCATCACCATGAAGAGCCGAGCGTGCGTTTTGCTGACGGACTTTTGAAAGGTGCCAGAGGATTAGTTTCAGCGAGCACGTTGAATGAGATTAGTCTACCAATCACGATCGGTGATGCTCTAGCTCCAAAGGTAACAAAAAGCTTTTGACCCCACCGTAAAAGCAGCCGAAGCCAGAGGCTAGGACTGAGTCTATTTCGGAGCGCGAGCCGGATAGAGACTATGTAAAAGTTGGACGTGGGACCGAAGTAAGAGCATGAATTCTTTGAAATGTTGAGCTGGAGCTGATCGTTTCATTCACCTAGATCTCCCAGATCGCCGGATGTGAGTGAAATGTTTAGTTTATGACCAACAAGTAGCGAAAAGTACAGCTGTGAACATTGAACTGATAAAGAAACATCATGATGAGAGTCTGTGTGCGTCATCTCAGTTCAGTTGTTCTCAGCTGAAACCATGAAAGTTGAGAAGTCATAAAGGGCAATCATAGCATAATATTAACCGCTGATAAGTTTCGAAAAAATTCCTCAAACATTCTATCTCCTCACTTCTTAACTACGTGATAGTAATGGCTTCCGAACGAAACTTCACTTCGTTCAGAATCCGACCGAATCGACTTTTCAACATTCCGACATTCGGAATTCCGGTCGAACATTAAAATTGCTCGGTCAGAATCCGTTTTTCGGAGTTGCGACCGAAATCTGTCGGGTATTTGCGACCGAACGTCGGTCAAATGCCATCGCTATTATTATCTGAGAAGTTATAGTCCACCTATGCCTGAACTAAACTCAGTTTGAATTAGTTTCAAGTATTTCGCGACTTCTGTAACACATTGGTTGACTTCATCTCCGCCAATTGGTTGTGATCTTTGGTGCGGCGAGAAAGATTATTGTTTTGATGCAAGAGGAACGAGTGCTTTTGAATTCGTCAATTGTTGTTAGTTGGTCGCACTAAAAAGATTTGGTGGGATGCATAGAAAACAGGAATTTTGGTCCATTTCCCAGAATTTATGAATGAATTCAGGAAATATGTCTCTTAAATGAATGGTCTGGATTCAGTGAAGGATCCATTGAAAACGTTGTTGGAAAAGTTTGTGATGATATACAAGATAAATTTTGGAGCTTTGATTCGAGCGCGAGTGGTGTTTTCGACGGTAAACCTCCTCTGTCAAAGTTTTGGCCTCTGATGGTTAATTCATATTTGAATGTGTCCAAAAAAAGCCATCCGAATTCTACGACCGTTCCTTTCAACTTATTTGTGTGAATCCGGATCTTCGACACTGTTACTTCCGAGAACAAAGCATTGGCCGTGATTGGTGACTGAGAGTGACTTGTGTTGTGATCTTCGAGGCTTGCTCCCTTGTGTTTCAAAATTGGTGTGTTAGGTATGTTGTGCTTCATGTTTCCATTAAGCGCGAACTTCAATTCATTTCTTCAACCATTTCGTCAAATGTTCAGATTCACTGATTCGAAAATGTGTCCGAATGGTTAATTTCTGGAAACATGTTCGCACTCAGTACTTCAGGTCATAGCAGTTCCAAATTGTCGATGACTCACTACTTCAATTAAATGTTCAATTCATCAAGAACTTTGTTTGTTTTCTCATCATTGGTCATATTTGATGTATCGATTTCTTTTTTCCTTCATCTTATGACAATTTCTTTACCGTCAATCTTTGATCAATGCATTTCCAATCAATGCAATACTTCTTCCGTGACAAATGACAGCAAGTCTTTTAATATTAATGACTGAAATGTTCGAAAGTGTTTTAAACAATCATAATCGCTCACTGGAGTTCCTAAAATTGTTGCATAAGGACTGATCATGGAAGTGGAATTGGAATACAAAATGGCAGGCTTTGCGCAATTTTCACATCTCAAACACGGGAATTCAGGCTTATATTCACAGATTGATGGATGTCCACTTATTGCTCAACTATCACATTGATAGAACGACTGCTTTTCGTTCTAACCGAAGATAATTTCTCGAATGCTAAATGCCTGCATCTTTTTCATGAAGAAAGGAACTTGTTCATAAATCTCAATTTTTCCATCGCTAAGGAATGTTTTTTCCACTGGCTTTCAGTTTTAGTAACTAAGGATCATGAATTTTCTGCAGTTGGTGAACAAAGAAAAATGATTTTTCATTTCTGAGACTTAATTTCGTTCATGTAACCGGAGATTTCTAGGCCATTTTCAACTAACTTTTGTCGATGTGCGTGAAAATAGTAAATTATGACAACAGGGAATGGTGGCCTGCCGAAGCATTCAAGGCCGACTGGAACTTCCAAACGTGAGAAGCACTGATTCATACGAAAGGTTCACAGTTGAAGAGTGAAGAATCTGCTGTCAACTGCATTGACCATTGATGTTTTGATATGATCTCTGTTTCGATTGCATATCTGTTTCTGATGGTTTCGTTCGCTTGATTTATTTGCTGATTTCCCGTTTTTACTTTAATTTTCATAGCTAATTTTCTCACTTTACTCGTGGTCACCACAAATGCAGCTTTTTTTTTTCAAGCGAATATCTTGTGTGATATAAACTCAATACTTATGTGTCTAAACTCAATCGAATCCCATTCGCGGCACATTCTGAAAACCCTAAGGCCTTACCCATTTACTGTGTTTACAGAATGAATGTGCTTAACGATGAGCATGAACCACCCTAAGTGATGACCGCTGTTGTGTAGTGATCGAGTTAGCATATGTGATCAAACTAGCATACATGATCTGCTGCTTTGTATATGAGTTGTCGTCTTATTGTTAGAAATTTNCTTCCGGGTAAAGTATTGTCTTTCGTCGTCTCGGGCTTTCTTCGTCGCTCATCAGTCTTCAACGACACAACAATCGGCATTTTCATTACATCACTGAAAGATGTACGTTGTTAAAGGTGAATCGTAGTGCGCAGTTGACCGCCCACTGATATGACCCGATCTTTTGCGATCACTACTGATATGACCTCATCTCTTGTGATCGATCTCCAATGGAGTTGCTCTTTTCATGGTTGCGTCAAACGATGTTGGTTCTATTCGTTCATGCATTCATTATCTTTGAATAGTTCAAGAAAACATTCCATTGTTTTTTGACAAAGTGTTTATTAAGTGCCATCAATTGGTTAACATTCAAAACCTGTTCTTGGAAAGCACTTTTATATATTCACTAGTGCACCATCTTCCAGTGATGACTTTCATTGATATTTCTTTCAGTTAGGAATCAGCTTTCACAACATGCAAGTAGTTACATATTGAAAAATATGTAATATGTAATCAGAGTTCGTCTTGAAAAAGATTTTGTTGCCGTGCATAGCTGGGACTAAAGAACTTTTTCAGTACATTGTTCTATTACTGTGTTTATGAAAATCCACTGCTGTTTAACAGGCAAGTGTAAGAAGTTCTCACCTAAAAAAGGAAATTAGAACGTTGCAAGTGCAGTCGTAACGGTCCCTCGAAAGTTTATTCATTGTTGATGACAAACAATTACTTCGTGAATTCAAGATGTCCACACGTCAAATTGCTTATGTTGGTGGAGCCGTCGTGATCGGTGCCACGGGACTGTACTATGCGATTAGATGGCTACAGAGAGCCGTCAAAGACATAAGATATCCTTTCGTACCGATTGGAACTGTTGCTGAGCTTTACATATACCCGGTTAAGTCATGCCGTGGACAGCAGGTATCTTATCGTAATATGGATGTTTCAATCGCATTGATTAATTCCGCCATTCTGCAGACAAGAACTTGCTTTTATCACTCTTATCAGAGGACATGGAATTATTGTTATTACTGTTGCTGTTTTCATCACTGTTATCATTATTATCATCATTAATATTATTATTGCCACAGTTTTCAATATAAATGTTTCTAAATCAAGTGAGCTGTTAATTGTTATGTTTTCAGGTTGAAGCACTGGAGGTCACCAAATTGGGTGGTAGAAATGGTGATTTGAGAGACCGTCATTTTTGTGTTTATGTCAAATCGACTCTAGTTAATTTAGATGCTAAACAGTGTGCCTCTTTGGTGGTCGTCGAGCCGAACGTTCAAAATGGAATTTTAACGCTATCAGCGCCGGGCCATAAACCTGTTTCTGTTGATATCGAAGAAGTTATTGAAAGACATAATGTCGTTACTGTTAGGTAGTGGTGACCAAATCGTTGCTTTTATTCATCTCTTCATCATTGTTATCATTACCAGTCACGTATATCCATCATTCCAAATGGATTTATTATATCCATTGAACATTCTGTCATATCACTGATACTTTATCATCTTGTCTATCTGATCAATTCATATGTTGATGCTCATTCTTATGCGAGTATGATCGAATTACTGAAGTGGCTCCTAGCGCTGTCAAACGATTCTCTCAGGCAACCTTTTGGGTTGGGTCTCTGTCAAGAAACATAACCATGACAATCTGCATGAATACAATACTTTTCCCAATGTTCTTTTCGGATAATCGCATGCAGCAATCAATTTATTATGTTTGAGATTGTTCGGTAACGTGCGACAAGCGGGTCTCGACTGTGGAGCTGAAGTCGGTAAGTGGATTGCAAATGTTTTGGGGAAGGAGGACGAATTCGGTTTGCTTTGCTATGTTGATGGTCTCTACAGTGAGCGATGGTCACGTCGTAAATATGGATGGCTTTTCAGTTGGATACCCAGAAACGAGAAGGTTTCAAATAATCACGTCTTGTTCGATCGTGGCAGTGTCTACACATAATACAGAGACATTCTTCGTTCACTTGATACACCTTCCTTCATCAGAACAAATTTGACTGCATATTGCAATATATAGACGAATATTCGATTGCTGAGTACGTTTCAGATCGCCTATCCTTATGTCGCACCGTTCTTGGGCTTGAATAGCGCATCGATTTCGGACATAAGATCACGTTGTGGCAACAATAAGCCGTTTAATGCCCGATACTTCCGAGGCAATATAGTGATTGATGGATGCTCAGCATTTGATGAGGATTGGTGGATGGAGCTCAAAATCGGTGACGCCGTATTCGACTGTTATGAACCATGTCCGAGGTAACTGGCCGCGGCTGCTCTTTCGATCACAATGTTCCACGTACGATTTGAATTGCACAAAAAGGCGATTATTACATACGGTCTACTTTGGTCTCACACGAATTTTTCTTGTTGGAAACTGCACGAATCGTGATCGTTCCGAGTTTTTCACATGATATCGTTTTTGCGTATAATTGCATTGCANAATGAATGAGAATTAAATAAATATGGATTTAAGATGTCATGTGATAACAATCAATCCAGCAAACGGCGTGCAAGATCCAGATGGGCAACCGTTGCGCGAGCTTCGACGGTATGTTCCTCATCAATCTAATCCCAACAGTTCTTCTCAATTTCTGATCGATCCTCAACAACAGGATGTGCGAATCCTATCAGAGGCCGAACTCACTGATGAAATTCTAGATATCGACTAGCTCCAGAAGGAAAACTCCGAAAGCTCTTCCAGCAAAAACCGTTTTTCGGCGTCTTCATGGGAGTCAACGAATGCGGCACCATACACGTTGGCGACAAGGTTTTGGCACGATACAACCGCAAACCATATCAAATAAGTTGAACCGCTGTGAAACGATTGTGGTCATGTGTAGTTATAAGTTATTGATGACCGCTAAAATTATATTTTGGATTAGCAATCAAAATTATGAACGTATTTGTCGTTGCATTTTTATGAAAATTTACCCGTACATATTATTCTTTATGTACGCAATAAAATTTGTAGTGCATTCGGTGGCTGTGAATTGCTGTATACTGATGCTTCTTTCGATTCAACAGCAATTCCAGATCGAGTGCACTGTTACTTCATTCAACATTATCACTGCGCCGAGAGTGCGGAGCACTAATTCCCAACGATATGACTGAATTTGGATTCTAACGAGTCATTAGAACGTAATTGGCACAGTTTTTCTCCTCAAATGCGCAACACAATTGCTCGTATTCTGTGTATAACCTGTTACTTGTATTTCTTGCACGTTTCAAGGCTGTAATTTGATTTTGCTTTTCTTTCTAATTCATCCTTTCCCTCAAATATTCCTATGTTCCACTGTATTGATATCAACTCCGATTGTCATAATTTTTAGAACTTTTTTTAAGCGCTTTCGAATTCACTTCTCAACGAATAGTTCCTTGCACCTAAAATGGTTCAGAATAAATTTCTTTCTTGAAAGAAATTTAGCACTTTTGATCAGAGGATCCATAGTTACATCTGCAGAAGATAGCGAGGATTACTTCATTAGGTTTTAGCAGCTTGAAACTTCTTC